TCCTTGCCCCTATTTCTCCTTGCCCCTATTTCTCCTTGCCCCTATTTCTCCTTGCCCCTATTTACCCCCTTGTCTCTTTCTCCCCTTTGTCCCCTTGTCTGTTTCTCCCCTTTGTCCTTACTTGCCCCTCTGTCCCTATTGGCCACTTTTCCACCTATCGGCCTCCTTTGTCCCTGTTTCTCCTTTGTACATGTTTGCTCCCCCTTTGGTCTCCATTCTTCTGCCCCCCCCCTCCTGTATTTGGCACATGTCTGTTTGTCACTGGTACAGAGAAGCCGGGATTGTTTTCCTTAGAGCTGCGAAGGTGTGGGGAGGGGATGTGTCTCAGGTAGTTGGAGGAAACTACTTAATCCTAAAGTGTTCGACACCACGAGAGGTTTGGATCGAGGTCGATCAGGAAAAAGTGTTTCCAGTGGGAAGGGTGTCGATAATTGCCATGGTGGTGGGGTTCACAAATTGAAGGGAATCAGGGGAGACAGAAATTCTTTAATACACCACTGAGTTGTTCGGATCCGAAATGTATTGTCTGAAGGAGCAGTAAGAGTGGACTCAATGGGAAGTTTCAAATGGAAATCAGAGAAAGGAATTGCAGAGCGGGGCAGGGATATTTAGACAGACCTTTCCAAGAGCTACAAAAGGTACAATGGGTTGGTTGGTTATGTCTGTCAGTCTGTAGTCTTCCTGCCCTCTTCCTGTCCTAGGGGCAGTGACCCATGCTGGCGGGCAGGTTGGTGAGACCATCTCTTGATCTGCCCAGGGTTGCTGGCTACAATCAGTCAAGTTTTATATTGAGATCGCTTATAACCTCCCTCCTCTCCTGCTGCAGACAGCCTCGAGTGCGAGGGCCGGAGTTTGCTGAAGAGTTTTGTCACCAGCGCAGCTCTGCGGTGAGTATATCTGTCCAGAGTCGGGTTACTGAATGGCAGAGGTTTTGATAGAGTAAATATTGTTTCCAGTGGCTGGAAGGTTGGTTAACCAGAGAGAGATAGATAGATGGCAAAAGAACTATAGAGATCTGATGAAGGGTCTAGGCCCGAAACGTCAGCCTTTCTGCTCCTATGATGCTGCTTGGCCTGCTGTGTTCATCCAACTCTACACCTTGTTGTCTCGTAGAGATGTTGACATTGTTTCGTTGTGATCTGGAACAGGCTGTCTGAAAGGGTTGTGGAAGCAGATTCGATAGGAACTTTCAAAAGGGGAATTTGAAAAATGTTTTGTTTTATTTGTTCCTGGTATGTGGGCATCGCTGGCTGGACCCAGCATTTATTGCCCCCTCCCTAATTGCCCCCTTGAGAAGGTGGAAGTGAGCTGCCTTTTTGAACCGCTGCAGTCCACTTGCTGTAGGCAGACCCACAATGCTCCTTAGGGAGGGAATTCAGGATTTTGACCCAGCGACACTGAAGGAATGGCCGATATACTTCCAAGTCAGGATGGTGAGGGGATCGGAGGGGAACTTACAGGGGCTGGTGTTCCCATGCATCTGCTGCCCTTGTTCTTCTAGATGGAAGTAGGGGTAGGTATGGAAGCTGTCATTAGAAGAGGCAGGGGGGAGAGGAGAGTTCTGTAGGACAATGGGGAAAGAGCAGAGGGAGGGAGAGGAAATTGAGTGACTTTATGTGTACAAAATGATCAGAGGTATAGATAGAGTGGACAGCAGAGACTTATTCCTAGGGTGGGGGTAGTTATTACGAGGGGGCATAGTTTTAAAGTGAGTGGAAGTAGATACAGGGGAGATGTCAAAGGTGGGTTCTTTACTCAGAGAGTGGCAGGGGCATGGAATGCATTGCCGGAGAGGGTAGTGGAGTCGGCCTCATTAGGGGCATTTAAGGGGCTATTTGATAGGCATATGGATGATAGTATAAGGTAGGGGTGAAGGTTAGATAGACCCTAGGATTAGGGTAAAAGTTCGGCACAACATCGTGGGCCGAAGTGCCTGTACTGTGCTGTACTGTTCTATGTTGTATGTTTTCAAAGGAGCTAGTTCAGGCAAAGTGGCCGAACGGCCTCTCTAATGTTGTCTGCTTAGTATTACGTGTGATCGGAACCTTCGTTTGAATGCAGGGGCGAGGATGTCCACGTGTTTACCTTTGAACTCTCGGAGACGGAGTTCAGCATTGGACTAGACGATGGAGTCAGGACGAGGTAAGCTCCCGCTGTCAGGGATACAGGGAAAACAACCCAACTGGCTTGGCGATGCCAGGGTAGGAAGAAGGTACGTGGTGGGCATGCCCCACTAAGAATGGTACGATGCAAGATCTGCTGCTGGTACTATCTTTTCCCGTTTGTTTTCCCTAGAATTTGGATGGTCAAGGGGCGATCTGAGATGGAAGTCTTCAACAGAAAAAGACAGGAGAGACAAATAGTAACTATTTCCACTGGTCGGGGATTCTAGAACGAGGGGGCATAGTCTGACTGTTGGGAGAGATGTTAGGAAGCACTCTGGCACACAAAAGTGTGGGAGAGGTTTGGAACTCTCTTCCACAAACAGCAATGGCTGCTGGGTCGGTTGTTAAATCCGAGATTTTTGTTAAGCAAAGGGATATGGGCCGAAAGGAGGTAGATGGAGTTCAGACACAGGTCAGCCCTGATCCTATTGAACGGTGGAACAAGCTGAAGGGGCTGAATGGCCTACTCCTGTTCCTATGTTTGGACGTCGTGGAATTCAATGGAGTTTTGAAATTTAGCTTCCACCTTCACCAGCAGGCCTTGATGGGGTGAGGAAGGAGATTCTGCTGAAAGAGTTTGAACATGCAAGAGTTAAA